TCTAACAGACTCACATGAAATGAGTCCAACTTTTCTTTTTTCTATAATTGAGCAGAATGGAAAACTCAGATGGTTATGGAAAACGCAAACTTACTTAACCTGTTACATGTGGTGAGGGCATTACATTAACATTGTTCTTATAGGCAGAAAAATCAATTATGATTTGTTAGACCCGTCTCATTGCAGGTGCAACTGTTTCATTGGGTAAAACGAACCCGACAGAGTTGTATAATTGCCTGTACTGATTTCTGTTACAATTTGAAAGCAAATAAAAACACCAATCCAGACGTGCCGAAGCACTAGCTACAAGAGCAGTGGTTCTTAACCTGGATATAATTACTCCCTGGGGGTAATTTGGAATATCAATCAATTATACAGGGCTATTCATAAGTCCTTGAAACATTTTGAAAAGTTACAATAAATAAACTACGCAACGAACACCAAATTTTATTACACCGAAATGGAGATAAACTCACCAAGGTTTTTTTTTTTTTAACATAATTCACAGATGCTCAATGTGTCCGCCTTTGCTCACACGGCAGACATCTATGCGATAATCCAATTCGTCCCACACCCGTGTCAGCATATCGCGGTTGGCCAGGGCCAGAGCAGCGGTGATACGGTTGCGAAGATCCCTGAGATTAGCAGGCAATGGAGATTTAAAAAAAAACTTGGAAAAATTCATTCTCTATCGACGTAAGAATTACCAAGATCCGATGCATAGTTCATTTGTTGTGAATTTTTAAATTGTTTCACGGACTTATGAATAACCCTGTATACACTTCCGACAAAAGGTAAAACAAATGCAATAAAACTGATTAATCGTAATTTTATTTTCGTCTATTGCCATTTAAAAGGGAATCAGGAGTAATTTTGGTTCACTTGTTGACTTTGTGCTGATAGAGTTCCCAAGGAGTTAAGAACCACTTCACGAAATAATATATTCATTTGTTGTGTTCAGGTGATGTATTTTAGGAATACAAATTTGAAAGAAGGAAGTAAGTTTAAATAACATTTTCTTTTCACCTTTTTTTTTTGGAAATAAGTTGAAAATTTCTTGCAGATTTATTTGTTTTTTTTGCTTTTAAGCGATTTTGTTCATGCATTACAATAATGTCCTGGTATATTATATATACATACGTATTTAACCGTCTTTCACAGCCAGTGCTTGTACAAAACTCATTACAAAAGACATGCAATATACTGTCCTTTACTCGGATGTATGTTTTAGAAGGTCATCTTCAGGCCACACATGCACATGTTACACATCATATTTGCCACTTGAGTTTACATTTTAATTTATATATTAAACATAGTACTGTGTATATATATGGCCCGTTGATGACATTCTGAAGGTAGAAACGTGTAGCCGAATGAATGACAAAATATTGAATGTAATCTGTAAAAAGTTGTGTGGAAGCATTAGTTATGTAAGAGAATACAGTATATATAATATATACAAAAACACAACATGACTCTCAGATATAATGATTCGTGTTCTCGAATGTTTATTGCCCACCATTCAGCTCTGAAATACCGCTGCTCCACACTATAGGCGTATTTCCGCTATATTTATTGTTTGAAGGTTTCTTGCTATGTGTAAATCGACTAACCCTTCCTGTACAGCTTGTGGATAGGTTTCAATAACAGGACGCGGTCCTTTACTTTATTTGTACTTGATGAATGCAAGCTGAGTAAACCGTCAAACAATCACTTGACAAAATGCATTCGCCTTGCGAAAATACGCCTCTTCTAATTAATTAAGAATTCACGAACTGCGATCAACGCAGTTTCACTTCACTCACAATAAATAGATAATAATCATCTCTACTTAAAAATTAATTATAATAATAAATATGCTAATCAACCAATGGTTTTCATGATTAACAGTAACCAGCAACCAATAATGGTGATGATTAGTGTAATATTGTTAATATGATAATTTTCTCCGAGGTACAACTTAAGAATTGTCTCTGTGTCTTGTCTGGATGTCTTATCTGTGGCAGTGACGTTTAGCTAACTTTTCTCTTCTGAACCAACAATTCAAAATAAAACACCAACAATCACTACATCGTATCAACCATCAAAGTTCTCTTCTTCTTCTTCTTCTTCTTCTTCTATAGAAGTGCAGATTTTAGAATTACCCCTGTCTTCTTCCTGTCGTTTGTAGTTCGTAACGTTTGTTTTTGGCAATGCATTATTTTCATGTTCTATATTGTAATTATCTAATATAGGCCTACGAATCTTTTCATATTTTTTGCTTCTGTGATCTTGGCACAGTTTTGGAAGTGGGATTAACCCTTCTGCTTACTTCACAACCGATTCTCACTCGTTTTAAAAGTAACAAAATTATTGAAAGATATTAAAAAATCTCATACTGCGTATCCTTATTATAATGAGTTGTATATTATATACTTTTATTTCTCTTCGTGGGTAAAGATGGATGATTGAGTACACACTTCTCTTGTTTTCCGTCTGGCCTCCTTGCAATTTCTTGTAACAAGTTGCCTTCCGATATTAATCGATAGCGCATAAGTACAGATAATCGGAAGATTGCCCACTTTAAATACGTATTTCTGTCTCTACCCAGTTCCAACAAACTATGAACAAGTACACTCGGATAAACTACAAAGTTGTGCGATCGATCCTCCTGATTCAGAAAAGTAGAGACAAAAAATATACTGAGAAGGGAACAAATGAAATGTCAAATTTCTACAGATAAATGTACAGCCATGTTCAAAATTTCAGTGCACACAGTTTGCCACGTTATTACTTTAACTCTCAGAGCAGCGACGAAGTAAATAATGTTTAAAAAAAAAGCTGCAAATTTGTTCTAACAACAGGAACATACGATAGCTCTGAGATCGTATGCCAGTAGTACAGATAAACAGGTAAAACTTGAAATTAATAAGCTTGATATACTGGATAAGTTGACTGCTGTTCAGCAGGGGGCTCGGGAATAGGGGATTCCCGCAGACGATGCACTATTAGATACGCGATCAATCGGAATTGCTGTGGACTCCTTGAATTCAAACAAGCGCAACAAAGGATTTAAAGGAAAATATATCTCGCAATTAGTCTTATACAACTGTGCGAGTTCTGTACTAAGATCAACAAACAGAAAGTCGAAAGTGAAAGCAGTTTTGATTGCAATGAAATTAGACGCCATGTTGTGAGATTTTTATACTAATGTGACGATGAAAAAAAATGGCTGTTTAATGAAAATGACTGTACATATGACATGTTTCCCCGTCAATACTATTTCCAATAAAGTGGTAGTGGGCGACTTAATAATTATAATCAGAAATATTAACAATTTCTAGATTATTTATATTAATTATTTTGTTTTGATTTTGTTGTCGCTTTATAAAAATGCTATAGTTGTAAAAATCTTGTTACTTTTACTACCATTTTATTAAAATTTCCACTCCATTCATACAGGGTAATTGTAAACTTACTTGACAATTTCAAAGTTTTGTTTGCATAGCCATCATTAAAGCTACGAACTTAAAACCTGCGTGTCTTGTGTGCGTGGAAAGAACACAATGACCATTTTCTGACACAGAAAACACTTTCTCTCCACATTCACGCAGTGTGCCAAGACCACATGCGACCTAGATAGTCCCAGTGGGGATATGCAATATCTTAAGAGAACCTTCGGGTAGAATGCAGTGAACCTTCAGTCCCTGGAGGACGTCACGTTCAGAGGAGGGGAAATTCGACCTTGGTGGCCACTAGAGAGCGCTTCCTGCAGGATCAGTGCCCGTATACTCTTGGGGGAAAATCAAACATAAGAACGGTACATATTCTAGCCATAAAGGATGCACATACATTGAGATATGGTAAGCAAAGTTCCAGGCAAATACTTGCATCCTCTGATAATGTGGCAAAGGTCTGACAGACGGACTGCACCGTAGAAACAAGGCTAAAGACGCGTCCACATTACTCGTGCTCGTGCGTCAGAAGCTTACTGCTACAGGAAAATCAGGATCTGGAGCTGACGAAGTGGACGCCCAAACAAAGCTTTCGCATTTCTTCACAACAGATACGAGTATCAGCTCCAGATCCTGATTAGCTTCTGACGCACGAGCACGAGTAATGTGGACGCGCCGTAAGGAACAGTCATGTGCGCATATTCAGCGATGACTGAACATGGTTTCATATCAGTTTCAAGGACGACATAGAACAAGGATCGCATAGTAAAAGAGGGAACTGGTGCTAACCCTGCTGTCATCCTAGACGCAACATTGTCTGTGTAACTGGTTACGAACTGTGGACTTCTGACATTGCTCACAGTTTCTCATTCTCGTCCATTCGCGGGTTGGTAAATTCTCGTATATACAGAATCTTCCACCATTTAATGAACAGTTTCTGGAACATTTTATGCATGTCATCTGAAGGGGAAAAATGTCCTGTTTAGTTCAGTTCATAATCGTTATCAGGTTTATCGCCGATTTAGTGTAGCACAGAACAAAATATAAATTTTATTTTGAGTTTTTTGTACCAACTTAATTAACTGAATTAGCGTCAGTTTAAAGATTTAAAAACTTTGTTTTTAGATATTTAACTACAGCAGCCATAATTTTTCTATTATAAATTACATATACTAAAAGCGTACTGGCATATAAAAAAATAAAATCCGTGATTTTAGTCCGCAAGCGACCGCCGCTCGTCTTCGAAATTAGTGTCAACTTTAGCAGATAGAGAGTGTTGTGTGGTCAGCGGAACGAATCCCCACGGCCGTTAATTTTTGTTTTCTAGACCGGAGCCGCTATTTCCTTGAAATAGCTCCTCAATTATCCTCACGAGGTTGAGTGGACCCCGTTCCAGACCCACTACTTCTCAGAAAATCTGGTAGCGCCGGAAATCGAATCCGGGACCTCTGGATCTGTAGCTAGGAACTCTGGCCGCTAGACCATACTCCTCATGTTTAAGTGTTAAAAGTATTTTGCTAACACTTTTCCACAGCAAAAAAAAAAAAAAAACAAAAACAAAAAAAACAGTCGAATACAGCAGTCACGCTAAAATTAATTAATTCAAATGACGCTAACATGGCTACACTACATCAGCGTTTAACTTGATGACGGTGATAAGTTGAACTATTGTTTACGGACATTCTTGTTTCAAATGGCTTGCGTAATACATCCCGAGTGTGGCTAATACGTAGTGGGACGTTCTGTACTCTTAATAGTGCACAGTTGCGACTCAAGTCGCACCAATCCCTGATGAAGGAGACAGAGAGAGTCTCCGATACCTTCGAAATTCATTCAGTAGTGACACTGCGCGCGACGACTGCATCACATTCTGTCGGCACGGAAGTTTCAAACCCTGTGTTCCACTTGGTGAAGTACGCGATGCCGTCTTCAGGCCATTGTACGAACCTGGTCGCATGCAGAATGTGGACAGAACTGGACTGTGGCAAGGATACCTTCCATGTTACTAATATAGTACACTTCTGTCATCTGACAAATATTTCATATTCCTGTCTCCATTAAACACGAGCTTAAATTAGTTTAGTTTGTAAAGCAAGTTTATAATTTCCCCGCATCGGCTCTGGTCTCAGGGGAAACGTGGAGTGGGATGGAATAAAACGAGACACATAACCTCACAATGACAATGACAATACGTTAACGTTTGTACAAATTTGTTTCGGAATTAATAAACAAATGAATTAATACTCTATTTTAAATGTTTTCGCAGTGTTTGGCTCTTTGTCTTTTGCAGGCATGAATTCATTAGTTTTTTTTGCATTTCACTTGAAATATTTTCACTAAAAAAAAGATGCACATTTAAACGATGTAAACACGCTTTCACATCAGATATGTGCCACTATGTTTGTTTGTTTGTTTGTTTTTTTTTTTATGTATTTTTCACACATCCAAAAGTCCATGTTCACATTTTGTGCCGTTGACTCAAATCTATCAAGGGTTAGTAATAATTATAATTAGTTATTAATGTTATTGATTGTTGTTTTACTATAGAACCTTCGGTCGCCCGATTCTATGTTCAACAGTGGATTGAAAACAGAAGAATTGTTTGTTGGCATCAGATTGTCAAGGGAAAGAAGGGGTTCGGGAGCTAATGTCGTGGGTTCTAGGTCAAGCTATTGCTCTGTTTAGTAAGTAAAAAAAGTACTTGGGAGCAGCACCATCGACGTTACGATTGACGCCATTTTGTATATTTTATGGAAACAAAATAAAAAATGGGAGTCTGTTCTTATTTGTAAAGTTTTTTTGTAAAGGAAATTACATTTCCTGTAATTGTTGATAGTCAATTGCTATAACAGTCTCTTAATGTCATTTGAATCTGCTAATTACTCCACAAGTAAACTTTCTTCTCCTAATTACACGTCTTCGGTGCCGTATCCAATCTCATTCGCTCCATCCATTTTGTAGCTCATTTTTCATTGTCGATTGCTTTCATAATAATTTTGTCCGCAACATACTGCTTCAAAACAATTTTCTCTGTACCTCTTCTAAAATAAACACTTTTAATTATTTAAATGTGTTCTAAATTTATTTTTTTCTGATTTCATCCTAACCTTCTCTCTTTTTTAAAGCCTATCGTCTTCCTCTTCTTCTTCCTCTTCATCGCCATCTTCTCTGTTCTCTTCGGACTCTTCCTTATAGCCGGGATGTTCCGAGATGGCATAGTAGTTGCCATTGTAGATGACGCCCAGCTCCCGCAGGACGTCTCCCCTGATGGTGGCCTTAATCGTCCAGTTGTAGCAGTCGTCGCTTTCACTTTCCCGGTCCAGCCTCTCGACATCCACGATCTTCGAACTAAGGCGCTCCAGGATGATTCCGATGTCCTTGATCGTGAGGTGCCTCTTCTGGTCGACGGACAGCTGGTCTATGAGCAGGAGGAACTTCTCGGATGTGCTCGCCTCGTCTTCCATGATGGTGTTCTCTGTCTCCGACTCGGAACTCTCTGCCTGTTGCTGCTGCTGCAGGCGGATCCCTTCTACGTCCAAGAAGCGGACGTGCTGGGCGGCCTTGCCCAGTGCGGCGCGTCGCGTGCCGTCTGACAGCGACGACGGCTGAGGTGACGTCTGTTGCTGGGCGTCTTGGATCGGAGACGTGGCTACCGACTTGTGCACAGCGATCTTACGGCCCTCCTCATGCAGGGCACAGCAGTGGAAGTCGCACTCCACCATGTTGTTGGCATCCGTGCCGTTAATGCCTGCAGCCCCGCTGGGACTGGTGCTGAGCGGGTGGTGAACGTGGTTGGCGCATTCCGGCGTATGGATGTGGATCGTGGTGCTCTCGAAGGAGCTCGTGCCCTGCTTGGTGAGCCGGTGAGGCGCGTGGTGATGTGGCGGAACCTGAGGACCGCCTCCACCGTAGGAACTTGTCGCTGCTGCAAGAAGATTCGCCATTTTACCGCTGATGACGTCATCGTGGTTTATCACAGTGATTTGAGGACTGGAGTTATAACGAGCCGTCGGTGCAGGTGTATAAACGTCGTTGATGAGCGTCTCTTTTTTACTTGCCGCCGCCGCCGCGGGGCCCGGACCGTGGATCCCGGACAGCTTCTCGAGGCTAGTCTGGATCACCAACGAGGGCCGCACCGACTCCTGCTTTTTGCTCGGCGAGTATTTGGCTGCCGCGGCAGCTGCGGCTCCCTCTGCCGCCGCTGACGTGACCACTTTCTGCTGCTGCTGTCGCTGGTCCCAGTGGAGCACCACGGTGACGCGGCCCTTGTTGTCCATGATTTTCCAGGAAGGGGTTTCATCGTGCAACTCAAGAGCGTGGATCGTCTCGCACACGATCTTGGGAATTGCGGAGATAGCTGCAGCCCCGCAAGCAACAGAAAACAGGACTCGCTACTTGCCTTTTCGACAACTGATCGAGGACATTGCTTGCCTCACTATTCTAACGATCTACAATTTGAACGGGTAAGAAGTGCACCCGAATCTCTCGCTTACAGCGGGGCAATGATCTACAAGTGACCTTAATGATCTTTCAAATATCCTTACAGCTGATTTGGCATACCTTTCCGGTAAAGTAACGGTTTGCATACTTTTTTTGCTGTCTAGATTTCATGCGTCAGTTGATTGTCCAAAGTATGAAGCTGCTTTTATTGCTCAGATGTGTTATATTATCATGTTAGGTATAAATATTGAATTTATAATCAACTATACGCTCTTTGTGGATTTTGGTACACATGTTGAAGAATTTTTTAAAATATATTCTAAGTAATTCACTGTAAAATATTCACCAGATATGTACAACCCTCAACTATATTATGTCAAATTTTAGAACTTTCGTCTCCTTGGAGAAGTGCATGTACATCTCTCTAACATTAGGAACATAGGGCTAATACTTCCTCTTAATGTCTGAAAAAAGTTTCCATGCTGGCTAGTTTATTATTCTAAATCTTAAAAACAAATCTTACCCTTCCTTTAAGATACAACCGTTACTGGTTGTGCACTGAACAGGAATTTTTTTTAAATGCAAATTTGCTAAGAAGAAAAGTTAAGTGCCCAGTTATCTCAATCGTTTCTTGTCAAATAGACAGAGTTGTTCATAAATGTGGCTAGTTCACACTACGCCTATTGCATCAAGATATTAAAATAGGCGTCTTATTATTGTATAGTTTTACACGATATCCAGACCGAAAGACAAGTAGATAGAAGGTAAAGTCTTGAACGTCAGAATTCCAGTACATACCGCTTGTTTCCGTTCTTTACTTCTGCGAATTCAGGTTCCATGAATTCATCAGAGAACAGAATAAATTCCATCGGTGTATTTAGCCATCAGAATGCACCAGATACATGACGGTTGTCCAAAATTTTCGGGGTCTTGGATATATTTAAAGGGTGTATTCTACTATTTAATTTGACTATTAAAGATTTTCTTGCGCAAATTTTCATTTCCTGAAGACTAGGGTAGCAGATTGCTCGGAAACATTGGTTCGTACCTTCCAGAGTACACAGCGTCACATTGCAGAAGATGGTAAGCATAATTTTCTCCACAATGAGAACCTCAAACCTTACATACGGAGAAAGGTGGAACAAGAGGTGACAGATTCAGACCTGTTCCGGAACATTGACGATTCTAAAAGAGGATTTCGTAGTTTCCTCAATCTCCACAGGCAAACGCCGGGATTGAACCTTGAATTAGACTTCTTCCGCTTGATTCCTCATCATTTCCAATTCATTATTGGCTCTCATCCAAACATTTGATCATATGTAATATAAATTACTAACGGCGTCGTTAAATAAACAAATAAATACTACTAAGACTGATGCATTATGTACTTGCTGTATTCTGATGGCGTAATACAGTACAGATATGAGACGTACAAATGTAGGCAAGTAGTTAAAGAGAGACGCTTACCGGCTCTGATGACGTCGACGCCGCTGGGGTACCAGCGTTCACCCTGACGGAGCAGTAAGAGGATCGTGTTGTTGGGCAGGGTGCGAAAATACTCCCCGTCTTCTACCTGGGTTCCGTCCGACTCTAACACGAGACGCACAGGCTCGCCGGCTACCACTCCCAGCTTCTCCTTGCCTACGTCATAACACAGACACAACACTCGTCACTATCCCCACTTGTCCAGGCTGCATGACATGTGTAACGTTTCTTTCCTCGCTCTTCTGTTTCTTGTCTATCTCCCTTCTGTGAAGAACCGATCACTTACTTTCCTTTGATACGACACGAACAACAAAGAAAACGACTTCTCCAAAAATTCTTTATTGACGCCTGAACGTCCTTACCGAGTTGTTGCCTAGGAACGATAGGAGGGGTACACATACAGGCATACAGTCTTATAAATTACGCAGTTAAGTTGGACGCAGGTACCGTGAATTACATATCAGACTTAATGAAGATTGGTTCAGGCATTCAGAAATTAGCAGGTGGGATACACAGACACACAGGAGGCAAGGAGATCGCATAAGCCTAATTTTCTTTTTTTCAACATAAGATCACTTTGATATGTATATCATGGCACCTAAGCCTGTCTTAAATGCGTACTTCGTAAATTCCTACCAACAATAATACCAACATTGCATCCTCTCAAATTTCTGAGGCTAAGCTTTGATAGGCCGGTCACGGTAGCCGAGCGGTCTAAGGCATGTACTGTCCTCGCTCGCTTGGAAACCGGGATCGTGGGTTCGAATCCCACTCAGCGCATGGATGTTTAGTTTGTGTGTGTGCTCTTTTCTGTGTTTGTGTACAGGTAGAGGCCTTGCGACGAGCTGATCACCCGCCCAAGGAGTCCTACCGAACGTGTAAGATCTAGAAAAACCGAAGTGAACGGAGAAGTTCATGGAAGTAGGCCTAGGCCCACTGGGGCTGTAGTGCCAAGGAAAAAAAAAGCTTTGATAGTGCTTGAACGCCTGTACCAATCTTCATGAACCATGGCATCATGTCACGTGAAGCTGTCTGAACGGCCTAGTTCATAAATTCCTATCACTAATACCAACATTACCCTCTCTCAGACTCTTCGGGCAATAACCGTAATGTTACATGCGTGAACTAATCACAGTGAAACTTGATATGTAGATCATGCCATCTGAGGTCATCTCAACGGCATACTTAATGATTCCCTCTCATCAGTAGTACCAACACTACAGCCTCTCAAATTGTCATCCAAACTATTCAGCTTGTATTGAAAAGAAAGTAGATGATCAGTTATCCATAGGTCTTGTTTTTATTGCGAGTAATTTTTAACTCCTTCTCCAACTACCGGGCTGGAGGACCACTTCTTGTTGGCAGTCCACTAGTGGTTACTCAATTTATTCGCAGCTGTCCTCCATGTCTGGAAGTCACTTGTTGCACTTAATATAGATGGAGGGTAATATTAAAACTTATCCCTTTCGTGGGTTGTTTTGCGACATTGCAGACTAGACTATATAACGTCGAGTGGTAAGACGGTTGGTGGCAATCTCACGACCCAGTCAGAATCATGACACAGGAAATACGAGCATGGTTCCCGCGGGGCTCGAAGCCAAGAATGACTGTACTGGCGAGGGCTAGCAACAAGTGACTAGACCAGACCAGATCGGTGTGGGATGAATTGGAGAATTTCCGGAAGGCAATTGTCGATATCTAATCTAGTTACTATCCCAGGATTTGTCCCGCTGGATCGACGAATATCTCAGTTAGGTTGTTCTGTGTCCTAGCCGAGATTCGCGTGGCATACTTCCCTAACATAATTCNCTCCGAAACGTCGGTTAACACCACATATACACGGTGCCAAATCCCAGAAGACTGCTTTCTTCATAATTCAAGAGTGTTATCGCTGAGGAACCCGTTTGAAAATAGATCTTACGAAAATAGGATAGCAGAATGTGGACTGGATTCATCTGGCTGAGGACATGGGGGCTAATGCTGGATTCTTTTGGACACCCGTATGAACCTTCGGGTTATGTAAAATGTTAGGAATTTCTTGGCCTTTAGTCAGTATAGAAACGCCTCCGGCAATTCTTCTATTGTTGCGTGTATTCTTCGCCGCGGGAACATACTTACTGAACCGTTGCCTAGCAACGAAAAGAGGGATACAATTTACCGAGTCTTCGCCTAACATCGATAGGAGGGATACACGCACAGACTTATGGGAGGGATTTATGAAATACGCCGTAGAGATGGGCTCAGGTGTCATGATGTGCAGATAAAGGTTCATAAAGACTAATTCAGGTTTACTTTCTTATTTCGAAATAAGGAAAGTAGGCTAACAACAAGAAAAGAAATAGAAAATTCGTAAACACGTGCTGGGATTCGAGCCTTGCCAGGGATATATATAGTTTTCTAAATTTCAGTTCCTTAAATGATAATGTTATATAAACTTTACTTTTTTAAAGTAATGGTTTCCAAACTCTTTTTATGTCATGTTTCCCTTATATGAATACACATTTTTGAGCTTCCCTCACAATTTATAAGAATGACGTAAATGTGATTTAGCAGTTTAAAATTACAGTTCTTAATGACTTTTCTATTAAAATGTGTGTCTGTAGTTTAATGTGGACTTCTATCGTGAAGTTATATATTACTATAATTAGACCGCGGCATTTTCGACAACCCTCAAAGAAAGAGTGACGCCCTGCTGGGTGAGCGGGTGTGGTCCATATTCAACCGGGTTAGGGTGCAGTCTACTGTCAGGCGCCATAACTGTCGGCTGTTTAGAGGGGCTGACTCTGTCCTCTGAAGTTAATGGAAACAAGCCCTTATTTCTTATTTAAGCCACAGTCCCTGTAAATTCATATAAATATGCCTTTCCAGCATAGGGAAGAGAGACGTAAGAAGTAATAGTGGTAGAGTAGATGAAAAGGTAAAGTCGTCGGACAATTAAGAGACCCTTCATTAAGAGGGAAATGAATCCTGTTCCGAAACTTCGTCCTCTTGCCCTTTTGGTAAGGCTATTATGAAAATAATGATGCTGGGAAAGTTATTGGCTTGTGACAGAGGCCGCGGGATTGCAATGTTCTAAAATATAGCGAATTCAATGAAGTAAAAGTGCAATATGTTTGCTTGCAACACAGGGGTTTAATCTTGATGAGCTTAATTCGGAAGGGCTGCATGAGTAGCATGCAGTGGAACGTGGAAACCATCTCAGCATTCGGTTGAAGACAGAGTTCCCTAATGTTTAAATTTATATATGGGATATTTAATAATCCAGTTCGTACCTCACAGAAAATATGCTGTATCTCCATTATAAAGACGAACCGGTTAATGCTGTTCAGATGAATAACCGCTGTTTATTGTGAGAACCATAAGGGAAAACGTTACGTACGCTAATGTTGAGACTGACATAACACAACATACTGTTGAAGTAAATGATATGTATAGCAAACAGTGTGTTTGAGAGATAATATCTATTGTTTTGGAAGAGCATTTCGTATATTTCAGCTACTTGCTGCAAAATGTCAGGATTTCAGTGCTTGCATTGCTGTAATACTCTGTTCATAATTTCCCGCAACGCCCCACCCTTGATACAAACCCGCTCGAGAATCGACTGCTCTTTATCTATCGATCCGCCCGTGCTCGGACACATGCAGTAGCAGCAGCGACCCAATTTCGACTCTCGAAATCCAGAACCAAACACTTAACAGATTTCAGTTACATTTTGAATGCGAAATGCTTTCAGGATGTTGGACGGAGACCTGGAAGGAAGAGGCCACTTGGGATACCTAGGCGTATGTGGATAGTGAAATGGAAAATAAAGCAATGAAATGAGGCCATTGACTGGAGTCATCTGGATTTGGCCTTTGAGACCAAGTTCTTCTACCTCCTCCTTCTAATTAATCACCTTCTCCATGTCTTCCTCCTAGTTCATAATCGCATCCTTCTCTGTATTTCTCCCCTTTGTTTCTCCTCTTCATTCCCCCTTAATTTCCCTCCTCTATTTTCTTACTGTTCTTCTCCAAACTAAACGTTTTTTTTTTCATGGTTGTTACCTTCGACAAAGAATTTCTCGAAGTTTCGGGCTACTAAACTAAATTTCTTTCTTTGGTTGTTACTTACCTCTGACCACGAGCTCCTCGAAGTTTCTGGTCACTAAACCAAATTTCTTTGCTTGGTTGTTACTTGCCTCTATCCACGAGTTTCGGGCTACTAAACTAAATTTCTTTCTTTGGTTGTTACCTACCTCTATCCACGAGTTCCTCGAAGTTTCTGGTCACTAAACCAAATTTCTTTGCTTGGTTGTTAGTTACCTCTATCCACGAGTTCCTCGAAGTTTCTGGTCACTAAACCAAATTTCTTTCCTTGGTTGTTACTTACCTCTGACCACGAGCTCCTCGAAGCTGCTGACAACTAAACCTTTCCGCACGTTACGCCAGCTGTCCCATATCTTGAAGGGCCTCTTCCCCCGCGCCTCCTGAAACAAATCAAGTACTGTGAATCTGCAAGTTAGATGTTCGGCTATAGCCTCTACACAAGTTTCCCTCCTCAAATGGTACAGCGAGTTCCAGAAGTCTCTGCCGCGGTGCCTTTAGTTCATGACCTTGTGCAGTACACCCCGTGTTGTCTGGTAGGTACTCTCGCTGTAGAAAGCAGTTCTCAGACACGTTTATCCTGAAGAAGAATGCAGTATATTTTCCGAAACGTTTATACCCGCCTACCAGATTACGTGGCTGTATAACTCAGAATACCACGAAGTGAATCCACACTGCCGTGAAAACCTCAGATTTTATTCAATTCTCGCCTCATCTCAACTGACTTCAGGTTTTCAGTCACACTGCCCACACTCTTTGGTGTGATGCTGGTAACATAATTACAGGTAATGTAGCGGCAACTGTGTTTCTGCGCGTTCTACTACTGTCTGTATAGCGACCTTGCAAGAGCAGTCATTTTCGAATTTCAGATTATGGTCTTGTCACATAATGGAAGTATGAAACACGATTCTCCTTCAGTAACGGACTTCTTAAACATTTTAGTGACTGACTGACTGACTGGCTGACTGACCGCTAAATTGCTGCTGACCCTAGCCAGCACAGCGATTCTTGCTTCGGAGTCCCANAAGATGAGTGCGTATAAGGTTTTGATGGGATAACCAGAAGAAAGAGACAACTAGGACGTAAGTGGGAGGATAATATTAAAATATATCTTAGAGAAACAGGATGGGATGATGTGGACTGGATTCATTTGTCTGGGAATAGGGAACAATAGAGTGCTCTTGTGAACACGGTAATGAATCTTTTAATTCGATTGTTGAATTCTTGTGTAGCTGAGTGACTTAGCTTCACAAGAAGAAGTCTCTTCCTTTGAGTTATTTTGTTTGTTGGTGTCATGTCTCATCTGTCAGTGCTGATATGTGAAATGTCGTATAAACTGCTATATAAAGAAGACGGTTTCCGATTTGTGTGTGTTATTCGTGGGAGATGGCGCTAAACATCGGCTTCGACTTATCATTCATAGCATGTTGGACTAGAAAGGAATTCGGAAGCTAGTAGGGGAAGTTAAGTTACGAAAGCTTCTGAAACAACTGTTGTGACCTGCCGAATTCTCAATGGCTGTTACATTAGTGCGCTGTATAGTTACAAAGTGGCGAAGTGTAACACTTTTACTATAGGGTTGTGTCCAATGTCTCTTCTCAGTACGGATATTGCAGTGTGCGAGAGGCGTGTAGTTTCAACTATATTTGGGGAGGGGTGTGCTCAAAGTTATAATTGTCCGCTCCTGCAAGTTTCAAGGAAACACTACCGAGCAAGCTACGGATCTGTTGAGAGTTGCACTTTACGTGCTCCTCTGGCCTATTTCACGCGGATGCAATACGTGACGTAGTTAAGGCGGTCTAACTCGTTGAAACACAGTGCTTACTATTTTAACGCTAAAGAACTCAGATGTTTGTCCACAGAATTTATTTAACTTCCCGTTGATACTCAAAATAAACAGCGATTTGTCTGCGATGAAGACGCGGTGTGTTTTCTGTGCGGCACGATCTCAATCGTATAATGACTTAGACGAAGCAGATCTTAATTTTTCTCTTGTGGAGGCGGGTTAAAATACCTCCACCGTATCAATGCGTGTCGTAGGATGTGACGAAAAGGAAATTCAGTGCCTGGGGTTATAACTGGGCCACCCTGTACCTGGGGGACATAAATACAGAGACATAGTCCTCCAGGTTGGAGGAGTTTCGAATTTGTGACAATAGAATATGGTCACGAGCCCCACGCGGTTCGGACCTGAGAATGAATTGGCTGGCGAGGACCAGCAGCAATTGTAAACGACAGACCCATCCTCTCGTCAGAGAGAGTGTTACATAAGGTCTATGAAAGAAAGCATTCAATTGAAAAAAAAATGTTTGTCGTGAGTCTCAGAGTGTTTGTTACCAAGACGAAGTGACTGACGGTTAACCGCCAGTCGTAAAGTGACTCTGACTCTGACTCTAAGATCTTACTTAGCAGTCCACTTTTTACCGCCTATGCGCAACGTCAGTTACAGTGAGCAGCAGAGCCCTTCATCACAACAACCTGTACACCTGATGATGGCCGGTTATGCCGTAACATGCAGTGACAATACAGAGAAGACGAGAGAATATTAACTGACGTCGTACATAGCAAGAAGTGGACTGCAAGATCACATCTACACATTGCAACGGGATGCTGCAATTTAATATCATTATACGAAGAAGTGTGAAGGCTCCCAGGGCCGTCAGACAATGAAATATGGTCGTAAGTCCCATGGGACTCGGAATCAAGAATAAAAATACTGGCGAGGGCCAGCAACAATTTAGCAGTTAGTCAGGCAACTCACATATTGATTTTATATGTGAGACTTTTGGCTAGAGGTCAGCAAGAGCATGGAAGATCTTTGGATCGAAAATTGCGAAGTGGGTTTCCTTGGTTTTCCTCTGCTCTTCTGCAAATCCTGAGATGGTTCCCAAGTTACAACTTGCTACTGCATGGTTTTCGTTCAGCCCTCCCGATTTAAGTGTATCCAGATTAATCCCCTTTGTTTTAAAGGCAAACAAATTACCTTTCAAAATGATTCAATTTGACACTAATTCAAAAAAACAAATTCCGCAACTTCTCTCTGACGTCACTAATACTAATAGTTTTAACGCCTTCAAATCTACACTGCCCTTATCCGAAGGATGAACTTCTAACAAAATTATGCTCTTTCTCCCTCACAAAATAAATTGTCTCTCATATCTACCACAACTTTTTCTTCTCACCTACTCCGTGACTCTGTGATTTTAGTCCGCAAGCGAACTATACCGACCGAGCGACCGCCGCTTGTCGGCGAAGTTTAGTACCAAATTTTGCGGATAGAGGGTGTCGCGTGGTCAGCGCAACGAATCCCAACGGCCGTTAATCTCGGTTTTCTAGACCGGAGCCGCTATTTCCTTGAAATAGTTCCTCAATTATCATCACGGGGCTGAGTGCACCCCATTCCATCCCACTACTTCTCAGAAAAAATCTGGTAGCGCCGGGAATCAAACCCGGACCTCTGGATCTGTAGCCACTAGCCACGCTGACCACTAGACCACAGAGGCGGTCTTTCTTCTCACCTACTCTTCTACTGTTCTTTTTTATCTCTCTCTGTCTCTCTCTCTCTGGCTTCAGAGGGATATACAGCAAGACTAATTTTATGGTTTCGAAGGGACCGTTTTTCTTTTCCGACACCGCATTACAGACCTGCCTGTTTGTCTCAGTCGAACTATTGGCACAATTAATAACATCAGTAGTGTAGACAATAACAGACTGATTGCCGTGAAACTCGGTGTGAAGAGCATACTCACTGGAGGACACTCACCTTGCTGTCACGCCAAGCTAGTAATTTTTAATTTCTTACAATTGATGATAACATGGCGGACGCACGAACTTGGGATATGAGACTGGCATTAGGGTCCCTTTTTGAAATTATATATGATAATCAGGGCCCGGATTTTGATGACATGTCATTTTCTTTTCCTTGTATCCTATGCGACGCTCTTAAATATATAAACCTCGGATATGAGCTGCTGGTTACAGATATGTAAATTTTATAGGTATTTTTTTGTCATTTTTTGAAATTTTTAGGTTTAAAGTCATTTTTTTAATTTGGGGGTAATTTTTGTGATAAATTTTTGGACTTTTAAGGGTATTTATTGTCATTTTTGGTTATTTTAGGGAATTTTTCTTCATATATTTTCTGAAATGTGAATAACATGCAAGCGAAATGTTCTTTCTTTTCTCCTTTAGGTCATTTTTCTGGATTTTTTCGGTCATTTTATAGGTCATTTTTTAAATATTTTCAGGTCATCAAAATCCGGGCCCTGATGATAATACGTATTCGATTAACTGCAAATATATGTTATTTATTTTTTTATTTTTTAATATGAAATAATGAAATGGGAAATGCATAAGTCTATTACAAGGCATTCGCCAACAAATGGCGACAAAATGAACGCACACAATGCTATTCTTATTTTCCGACCTTTAGAGTGTTTGATAGAATGTAAGAAACGAGAAAAGGGGGAGACTAAGATATAGACGGAAGGATAATATTAAATGAATCGTATGCCCTTGAAGCATAAATTTCAATTGAGCAGTATTTCAAAATTATTTCCCAGTGACAGCAATGGGCTGCGTCTTGACCACAAAGCAACCGGTTAATACTGTTTAGGGAAATAACAGCTGTTTATTGTGAGAACCATACAAAGCACATAAATACACTGTCCTGGCGAAATGCACAGCCTGTTAAATCTTAGCGGAAGTGGTACATATAGTAGCCACTAAATTCTGAAGTGCTAAAGAAATGAATTTGTCCCAGAATAATGTCACCACATAGCACTTATTTCTTTCGGCGTCGTACATCTTGTCTGGGCACAACTGATGGGCGTTTCTAACGTACCCAGGGCGAACAGCTCACTGCACCTTTCTGCTGCCACCTCTGCTTGCTCGGCAGCCGGCTGTTGCAGTCGGTACAGAGACTGGCTACGAGCTGGACGACCGAGGGGTCGGAGTTCGAGTCCCGGTAGGGTCAATAATTTTCTCTTCTTCACATCGTCCAGATCGGCTCTGGAGCCCACCGAACTTCCTATCCAAAGGTATCGAGGGCTCTTTCCCGAGGGTAAAGCGGCCGGGGCGTGAACCAGATCACTCACCTCCAGCTAGTTCCGAGGTCAAGAAAATATGGATCTATACATCCACTCCCCCATACGCCTTAATGATGTAGTGCTTAATTAGTCAAGCACAGGTACAACTTTACCCTTACCACTGCTTTCTGCTGTAGTTTTCTGCCGATAGCGCGTTATTCTGGGACAGTCTGTATTGCAAGATGACGCGAAATGGGTTAACCTGAAGACTACGGTCTCCTAGGACTTGATGTCGTGTAGTCTGAAAGAAGTTTATCGATGTTTCGGAGGAACATCATCAGTGTAGAAGTCAGCAA